AGGACCACCACCTCATTTAGTGTTTTAGGAGTTTGGTGTTTTAGGGATATGCCGGGACATCTTTTCTAAAGTAAAAGACAAATTGCTGCATCTTGCATCCCCTACCACAAAGAAGGAATCAAAGCACCTGGCAGTTCTCATCAGGTTCTGTAGGCAACACTTTCCACACTAGAAACATTGCTCAGACTGATATACTAGATGGCACAAAAGACTGCCAGCTCTGAGTGACACCTGGAGCAGAAAAAGAATAGCCCTGCTTATCATCACTCTCAGAGACCCACTGAGGGACTTTATGCCTCCTATTCCTGCAGCTCTGGGGTCTGCGGGGTGAGACATTCTGATCCCGAAAGGGCCATATTCTTCCGGCAAAGGTCACATTGCGTTACATGGTGTGGCTACCACTTGAGCACTTTGAACTCCTTGTATTCAGGAATCACCAAGTAAGAAGAGAAATTATCACTATCATACTGCCAGTGTAACTGACCTGGATCAGGGAAGAGGTGGGGCTGCTGTTACACAATCGGGGCAGGGAAGAATATGTGTGGTGACTCACTTGGGCATTTCTTCTTTTTTTTTTTAAAAGATGGGGTTTCACCATGATGGCCAGGCTGGTCTTGAACTCCTGACCTCAGGTGATCCACCCACCTCGGCCTCCCAAAGTGCTAGGATTACAGGCATAGGCATTTCTTGGTATTATTTTGCCTAGTTGTGACTATGAATGAATAAATGCAGCAACCCTGGCCTGAGAAGGGGGCCTCAGACCCATGAGGGATTAGAGTTTGGGCCACAGCATCAGTAAGCCACTGAGACTAGTAGAAGTGATAGCTGAGGGAGGAGGGAGTTAGAGTAGAGGAAGGAAACAATGAGTACCCAGTGCAGCTTCAAGAACAACTGCAGCCATGGGGGCTGTATATTATTCCACTAATCACGCTCATCTAAGTTTTTCACAGGAAGAGAAGCCCTTCCCAATTATGTTTGGAGAAGTGAATCCACATGATACAAGGGGCAGACTGGAGCAGCCATGGAGGTACCCCACTTGGATTCCTTTCACAGAAGAACTTCCTGTTCAGCTGTAGGAGTGCACACAGCTTCCAGCCACAGCAACTTCAGGATTCACTATCATGTGCATCTTAAGACCACAGTCTTCCCAGGCAGCCTCAGGCGATGACTGAGCATGGTGTGCATACTGAAGCCTGGCCATTTCTGCCCAGCTTTGTCCCAAGTCTCCCCATAGAGTTGACTGAGACTTTGTCAGATCCACGTCATGACTTGAGGCTCTCCCTACCCATCCTGCTTCCTCTCCCTGTATCTTTCACAGCCGTTACCCATAATAACCCTCTTCTGCTTCTAACCTTGAGCATCTCCTTCCCAGAGAATTCAAACCAATGCACTGGGTGATAAAATAATATCGAACAGAAAAAATAAAAACTATATATATATCCACATATATGGTTTATGTAGTTTATATATAGTTTTTTATATGTGCATATGTTTATACATACACAATACAGTTATAAATATTTTTAATGTATATTTGTATAGATGAGACCTCGAAGACATGGAAAAATAAAACTGGTTGATCTATTAAGTGGAGTAAAATAATAATGAATTATTTTTTTTACATGTCATTTATTGTTGACACAATGTCTTTCAAAGAGAAAACAAGGATATTGGTTCTTTTTTTTTTTTTTTNAACCCAGGAGGCGGAGGTTGCGGTGAGCCGAGATCGCGCCATTGCACTCCAGCCTGGGTAACAAGAGCGAAACTCTGTCTCAAAAAAAAAAAATACCTGCCAGCTACCCTAAATAGGAAATGAATCTAAATACATTAATAAATACAAAGCAAGTCTATGGCCGTTAAGTGGGAGTAATCTCAACCTTTGGAAAGGAAGGCTAAAAAGTAGCATCTGACTTCAAAGAAGACTTATCATTGTTAGGTTCAAGCCAGAGGGCAAAGAAGGGAAATGCAGGACACTGGAGGGGGTATGGGCAAGGGAGGGTGTCTAAGAGCCTCAGAGAAGGGAGATTGGAGCAGGAGGAAGAATGGAGATAGGGATCTTGTGTGTGGGAAAACACACAAACTCAAGAGTGTTTGTTCCTGTTATCTCACTCAACAGCAACAATCAACACAGAGAGAAGACTTCTGTGACCAAATATGGAGGATTTCTCCCTACTAGCAAACAGACAATCAGTCCTCTAATTTGATTCTGACACCATCTACCGGTAGGCCACAGCCTGAGGGCTCAAGCCCCAAAACTGCCTCCGCCTACCCTGTTCAGACACCAGTCAAAACCCAAGCCTAGGCTGGCAGTGGTGGCTCCCGCCTGTAATCCCAGCACTTTGGGAGGCTGAAGTGGGAGGATCACCTGAGGTCAGGAGTTCGAGACCAGCCTCTCCAACATGATAAAACTCCATCTCTACTAAAAATACAAAAATTAGCTGGGCGTGGTAGTGGGCACCTGTAATCCCAGCTATTCGGGAGGCTGAGACAGGAAAACCACTTGAACTTGGGAGGTACAGGTTGCAGCGAGCCAAGATCTTGCCATTGCACTCTAGCCTGGGGAACAAGAATGAAACTCTGTCTCAAAAAACAAACAAACAAACAAAAAAACCCCAAGCCTCCAGAACTTATGGCCAACCAGCTTCAAGTTGGGGATCCTACACCCGCTCTTTGGGTTTAGTTCATTTGACAGCGGCTCACAGAGCTCAGGGAGACACTTAGGTTTACCAGTTTATTAGAAAGGATATGACAAAGGATATGAATGGAGGGATGGACAGGCCAAGGTGTCAGGGGAGGGGTGCAGCGCTTCCATGTCCTTTCGAGTCAAGCCAGCCTCCAGGAACTACCACGCGTTCAGCTCCCAACCTTGTCGTCTTGGGCCTTTTATGGAGACTTCATTGAATAGATGTGATTAAAGCATGGACAACCGTGTCATATCATGATTGAACACACACACACTCTCTCTCTCTCTCTCTAACGGACTGATTGGGGAAACCCAGCAAGGCATGTCTGTTTAGATTCTTCTTGGTCTTTCTATGCAGCATTTCTTCCTCCAGGCTGCAGGGCATCTCTGGAATCAGGGTTATGACTCACAATCAGATTAGAGTCTTGCATCTGGCAGGTACAATGAGAACAGGAAGGCCCAGTGTGGTGGCTCATGCCTACAATTCCAGCACTTTAGAAGGCCAAAGCAGGTGGACTGCTTGAGCCCATGAGTTTAAGACCAGCCTGGGCAACACAGGGAGACTGCCTCTACAAAAAATAAAAAATTGGCTGGGCATGGTGGCTCATGCCTGTAATCCAAGCACTTCGGAGGCCAAGGCGGGTGGATCGCCTGAGGTTGGGAGTTCAAGACCAGCCTAACCAATATGGTGAAACCCTGTCTTAAAAAAATAAATAAATAAAATAAGCCGGGCACGGTGGCTCAAGCCTGTAATCCCAGCTCTTTGGGAGGCTGAGGCGGGTGGATCACGAGGTCAAGAGATCGAAACCATCCTGGTCAACATGGTGAAACCCTGTCTCTACTAAAAATACAAAAAATTACCTGGGCTTGGTGGCGCGTGCCTGTTATCCCAGCTACTCAGGAGGCTGAGGCAGGAGAATTGCCTGAACCCAGGAGGCGGAGGTTGCGGTGAGCCGAGATCGCGCCATTGCACTCCAGCCTGGGTAACAAGAGCTAAACTCTGTCTCAAAAAAAAAAAAAGACTGTGAACACACTTTGCTATTGTGCAACAGTAAACATTGTGAGATATTATTTTTATTACTGGCTCAACTACCAGGTAGAAGTTGGTCAAGTAAAAATACTTATTGAACCTCTACTGTGTGTCAGGTACCATTTGTATTAGTTTCTATGGCTGCTATGACAAATCACCACAAATTTAGTGGCTTATAAAACACAAATTTATGCCTGGGTGTAGTGGCTCAAGCCTGTAATCCTAGTACTTTGGGAAGTCAAGGTCAGGGGGATTGCTTGAGATCAGGAGCTCAAGACCAGCTTGGGCAACATAGCAAGACCCCTTCTCTACAAAAAGTAGCCACACGTGGTGGTGTGTGCCTGCAACCTTTTATAATAAGGGGGTTGACAGACTTGATAGACTTATGTCTCTCAAATTCTGTAGCACATCAGGGGGACTAAGAAATAGAACCCTGAGGCCAGCAGAGTGGCAGAACAATTGGAGAAAGTTATCTTTCTCTCTACAGGAAAGGGAGGATTTCCTGTAGATTGAAGAGGACAAGGAAAGGCTGGTCTCAAGGAGAAAGTCAACCAGATAAAGAATTACAAAAAGCTTACAAAAGAATGCAACATTCTCACCCCAGCTAAGCAAACACTTTTTCCTCATTTCTCCCCTCAGGAGTGGGAGAGGCTAGTTTATCCTGGTGTGTGGTTACAAATTCTACAATGACACTCTTTGTATCTAGTCTCCCGGGCTGTCCTTTGTTTTCCCCCAAAAATTGTTCAGTTTTTTATTTTATTTTATTTTTTTATTCAGTCTCCGTAGAGACTGTCAGAAATTGCCAATGCCAACTGCATTTCAAGTCATGGCGGGGTGTTGGGAAAAGTTTTCAATTAGCAATAATCGCGCCTTGGATAAACCTCATTGGCTACGATACTGCCACTGTGCAAAGCTGTTCAGTTTTTTTAGAAATGACTTTCTCTTTAAAAAAAAAAAAAAGATAGTAAAAAAAATAGAAATTACTTTCTCTTTGACTGCAAAGATGAATTAAATAAATTTATATACGCAAGTTAGTAAATTAGATATCCAAGCTCTGTGATTATAAAAAGTTTACATATAAGATTTTTCCTTTTCATAAACAGCCTCACAGAGGTATAATTGACAAACAGTAAACCGCACAAATGTAAAGTGTGCAATTTGATAGTTTTGACATATGTATACATCCATGAAAGTTTTACCACAATCAAGATAATGAGCATATCCACCCACCAGAAACTGGGTGTTGGGGACTGGGGGTGGATATGTTCTCCCTAGGTTTTGACCTTTTATTACCAGCTCACAAATTTGTACTTCACAGTAATGAGACAAGATGAGTCATTCATAAAAAATTTTGCTACAAAAGTAGGCAGAAAAAAAAAAATTCCCACCCACTTGGCAGGTGATCAGTGGCTCATTAACCTAAATCATGTCACCACACTGTCATGTCTTTCTTCATTGTATACAGGGCTGAGCTGGGATGCAAAGGGCTGGGAAAAGCACCCAGCTGATGTCCCAGGCCAGCTCTTGGCTGCCTATATGGAAGCAGGAGGGGACTTCTGCCCTCAGTCCCCTGACAGGCCTGCCCTCCAGCAGTCTGTCTTCACTGGGTACCATAGCATTCAGCCAAGGGCTAGCAGGCCTGAGTTTCTTCCTTATCTCTAGCTCATAAATCTTCCCTCTGGTCTAAGAGAAAGAGATACTTATCCCTAATTCTATTTTTTTAAATTATATTTGCAGGCGTGGTGGCTCATCCCTGTAATCTCAGCAATTTCGGAGGCCGAGGCAGGTGGATCATTTGAGGTCAGGAGTTCAAGACCAGCCTGGCCAACGTGGTGAAACCCTGTCTACTAAAAATACAAAAATTAGCCAGACATGGTGGCAGGCACCTGTAGTCCCAGCCACTCAGGAGGCTGAGG